CTTCAACTAATATACTTAGGGTCTGACCCTGTAACTAGTTGCCTAGCCATTGGACCATATGATGATCAAGGCCACAGTTCCCCAGCTTAACCATGAGGACATCATGGGGAACTAGGTCAAAGGCCTTCTTGAAGTCCAGAAAAATGATGTCCACATCATCTCCCTTGTCCAGGGCACGTTATCTGGTCATAGAAAGTAACCAGTTAGAGATAATCCTCAATGGCAGAGGTATTTAAATTAACATGCAACAATATGCTTAGAAGCTATATCCCTAACTCCCAAACTTAGAAACCCTAAATAAAAAAGTGACCTCCTTGTCTACCAATCATGATAGCAGGTATGGAGAACCTAAGTAGCCATCTCCTCTAATGGGTAGATTTGGCTTGGAATGTCATTCTTCAATATTGTTAGCAAGTGTTTTATATATCTAAACATGTTTTTAATAGAGCAATAAGGATCCATAAACTCAGTATTTCTGTACCTAACCATCATGAGGAACTTGACCCATTAAGTGTGCTCTGAATGTTCATAACATATTTTATAGGTTTGAGCTTTGAACAAAATGATTTGCAGTTACTTTATTTTAAAACATACCCTCTGAAAGATGGTGGTGCCAATCTTGTAAACTGCACTCTACTGGTTAGTACACTATTCCAGGTAGCCAAAGACTGCAGGAATTCAGCCCCACTTAGGAGAGTGGACCACCAGCTAATAAGCTAGTCTTCAGATCCAGACTCTCTGTTCCTAAGCTAAAATAATCTGGGTGAATCTACATGCGTGCTGGACTGTGCAGTAGTTACTTAAGCAAGTGCTAAATGACTGCACAGTAACCACAGTTACTACATAGTCCTGGCACCACATGGGTCATTTCTGATGCTACTGCACAGTAGTGTCTCATGTAGATGTTCCCACTGTGTATTTGAAAAAGTGCACGAGAGAGCTTGACTTCATAGTCTAGTGCACTTATTCTCAACCAGGGTGCTGTGGCACCCTGTGGTGCCTTGAGGTCCTTTCAAGTGGTGCCACCCAATACTCTTATGTTTGCAAACACGATTCACAATACAAACTCATAGATTACAAATAAGAATCAATAGAATTAAAACATTCTGACCTGTTGTGGTCTTTCAATGTTCTTTCCAATGGAATTGCTCTATTATTCTTCTGTAGTAAAAAAAGAAAAAAAAGGAAAAACTAAGAAAACTAAGAGCTAGCATTTTTCAAGAGGTGCCTTGAGTCTAAAGAATTCTGAGAACCACTGGTCTAGTGGTTAGGGCTTTCACCTGGAAGTGGGAAGTGCTTGGTTCTAGTCTTACCTGTTTCAGTACTTTCCTTACTTGGGTGGCTAGAGCCTTCTGCTGAAGATGTGGATTTGCTCTCCCTCAAATTGAATAAGAGCTCAGACTCAGATGTTATACTTCCAGGAATGTTGCTCTAGCAACTAGGCTATTATAAAACTAGCACCACCTTTCCTCCTCCTTGTAAGGACCTCACCATAGGAGCTCTGACCTAATAGTTAGGCCACTCAGGGAGGGAAGGAGCCTAGGGTGGAGTCCAAGGCACCCATACTGAAGGAGAATTCAAGGTGCAAAGTCCAAGGCACAGCCAAAATCAGTGTTCTAGAGTCAGAGATCAAATGACCAGCTCTAGAGGGAATTTCCAAACAGCCAGAGTCCAGAAGCAGAGCCAGGCAGGGTCAGATGTCAGAAAACCAAGAGCACAGGATCCAGGGAGCATTGCCACTTTCAGAAAGAACTGTTGGCTGTTCTGTGGACTGCTGCTGCGGCAGGTGTACTCATGGGCAGATCTAGAATTTTGAAAAGGGGAGTGCAGATGTTGTGGCACATCACCGCATTTTCTTTCCAGTTAAAGAGAAAAAAGATACTTTATTAATATACTAGGGAGCTAGCACTATATTATTCAGTTTAATATCAAAGCTAAAACAAATATAACTATTGGAATGTGGATGGGTTTGCTAGATTGTATAAAAAACACAACAGGCTAGGCAACAATGATCAGATAAGCGGGGAGCCGGAGGAAAAGTAAGGGCAACATTGGACCCCTGCTGAACCAGATGGGACAACTGATGCCCAGGAAAAAACCAACCTTTTAAATGGGTACTTTGCATCGGTCTTTCATCAGTCCCATGGGACGCCCATGCCTGCTACGGGACAGGGAGGTCCGGGTGAGGGAGATCCCCTGCCCTCCATCAATGCTGACCTCGTAAAGGAACACTTTGAGAGGCTGGATACCATCAAGTCAGCTGGCCCTGACAATCTACACCCCAGGGTACTCAAGGAGCTGG